TAAGTCAACTTGTAGGTGAGACGTCATTAAGGCAGGAAGTATCTTGTGTAAAATAAGGTCACTGGAGCAATGGGGTAGGTGGACAATAATGGATTGTTTTAAAGTGAACTCTTTGGCCCCTTGTCTTAGTGAGGCTGCTGAAGCAAGTGGACAAAGGCAGGGAGGTCAGCTTTGTATCATGTTGTCTGTTTTGAGAGATAGGCTACTGCTTGGAAAGAAGTGTGTGTGTGTGTGTGTGTGTGTGTGTGTGTGTGTGTACTAAAACTCCTACAGCATTATGATCTTGAGTGGTAGAAATCTTGGGTTGGTCTAAGGAGAATGAGAGCTGGGGCCTTTGAAACAGCCTCTTTTAATTTAGAAAATGAGAAGTAGGAGTAGTGGATATGAGGCTTCTGATAAAGAACCTGTGGATGCTTTATAAAGAGGTTGGGCTAGTGTAGCAAAGTAAGGAATCCAGAGATAAAAGAAGTTTTTAAATCTAGAAAAGATAAAACTTGTTTTGAAGTTAGCACCTGGAGATCATGGAGATGGGCTCTGTGGTCTGAGGTTATAGGTGGGGATGAGAGTGAGACTCAGGTATTTAATCTTTGGTGAAGCTATTTGGGCTTTAGTAGGGAACACCCTATGTTTGAGACTTGAGAGATAGTTGAGAAAGGTAGTTGGATGTTATGTAGTTAGAGCCTAGACTGGAGAATAGAGGAGAAGCTCATCTGTATATTGGAGAAGAAAGTCAGGTTTAAGATTGAGAGCCACAAAAAAAAGGTTGAGAGCCACGAGATCAGCAGCAGGAGCTCAGTTGAAGTGTGGAGTATCCCTGAAGCCTTGAGGTAGGACTCTAGATAAGTTGTGTAGATTTCAGTGTCTGGATTTGTCTATGGAAAGGCAAAGAAATCTTGGCAATTGAGGTGTCAGGAAATAGTTAAAAATATATCATTAAGGTATAATACAGAAAAGTGAAAGGTACACAAAGAAAAGCGAGAGTATAGTGTAAGCGTTTGGCACTATCAATCACATTTTTAATATCTCCAGGATCTTGGACTGGTGATAGAAGCCACTGGATGTGAGGATAGGGACAATAGTGGAGTTGTAGTGTGAGTGAGTGACTTTTGGAGACCCATTAGATAATAAGCAGCAGATTATAGGTTTGAGCCCCTGTTGATGTTTAGGGGCTATTGGATATGGGGAAAGTGAGGGGTGTTTGAGGTGAATTACAAGTAATGTGTTGGCATGAATAGGATTGGAGATGTCTCAGACTGTAGGGTTGACAATGGAGGAAGGAAGGGGAGAGGCTGAGTCAACAGCACATGATAGTTGGCTTGGGAGTCTGACACCCATGGGCAGAGAGTGTAAGAGAAACTGAGTTTTTGGAGCAGATTATCAAAAAGAGGTACAGGATAGTTTGGGATACTGAGAAGTTGTGTGTAATGGAAAAGTTTTGGAATCTGCAGGAAGTAGGTCCTATCTGGGGAGATCATGTAACCTGGCTGTCAATTCCCATAAGAGAGCCTGCAGAGCAGAAACACTGCCCTGAAAACTCAGGAAGAATACCATAGGTGGCCTCTGTGTCAATAAGGAAAGAGACAGTTTTACTTGAGACATCCAGTGAGACATGGGGCTCTGTCTATCCTCTTCAGTGGTGATGCTGGGCAGATCAGCTGGTGATGAGTCCAAGGCAGCAATGTCTTAGCCTGTGAGGGTAGGGAAGGTGATGACGTACTCGTTCTCACAGGGCAGTTGCACTTCCAGTGGCCCTCTTGGTTGTAGATGGGACAAGTTCCCATTCATGGCCACAGGTCAGGGCAGGCTTGTATCCAGTGTCCTTTATCTGCTGCACTCAAAGCATGGTGGAGAGGGGCTCAGGTTTCTAGTCATTTTTTCCTACCTGTGTTTTATCTTGAGCCCTGAGTTCCACTGTAGCTGAAGCTACTGAGGCCAGAAATTGGCATTTGAGTTTAGCCTAAAATGCATCCTTTTTAAGGTCATCCTGTTTTTGTTGTTTTCTCCACTGTTGAAGGCATGGAAAGCCATACCTAAGAGGTATCTCTAGGGAGATTGAAGACCAAGGTCTGACTTTTTGAATTTAGTCTGAATGTTTGGTGCTGCTTGGCAAATAAAATAGAAGATTAAGCTTTTGTTGAGGGCGAAGAGTGGAAGCAAGAATAGCATCAAGATCCTTGTAGATAGGATTGAAGGATGAATTTGAGCTTTTTATGATATCATTGTATGGGTCAGCAGCAAAGGATATTACATGCTGGAAGATATTTGAGAGACTGGAGATGGAAAAAGGGACATGAATGTGGATTAAGCATTTGGTACCTCTCACTTTGTAAAGGGAGAGAGGGTGGGGTGAGCATCATGTCAAAGATGGCTGGAGTGGGGATAATGAAGACAATGTGTAGGAAGGGTCATCAGATGGCAGTGAGTGCAAGCAGCTGCAAGACGGTGGTGAGAGAGGTGTGACAGTGCCTGTGCAAGAAGGTCTACCCCTGGTCCTCATTTTTTTAATTAATTGAATTTGTTTTTTAATCAGGACTGGAATTTGGGATCTTTAGCCTCACCTTCAGTGCTGGGTTGAATGTGCTACTACACCTGTCTGCACTGTGTTTTCTGTCATTCCTCCATTAAGAGGATAACATTTTTAAAATTTTTCATCTTTTTGTAGAATACTTGTTGTGGTCAAAATAATGACCAGTCCTAGAACTAGATGGTCTAAAAAAGCAAGTGGTAATGATTAAGCAATTGTAAGCATTATAGTTTTTAAAATATACAGTTGAAGTGTCCAAATCTCATTTTGACATTTCAAGTTTCGGAAGTTTTTGTACTTCCAAATATTCATTTAAAACTCGCGCAGTACTGTGAGTTTCTGGAGATTAGAAAGATGTTGTGTTAATTCTGAAGACCTGCAGTGCGGTGTTTTGTATTAAGAGGCATTTTAATACCATTTGAATGTTAATGAATGGATTTCTACCTAGTAGAATTTTTCAAGTAATGTACGCATGATTTATGTAATAAATAAGTACATTGAGTTTCTAAAAATATGCCCTAAAGTGTATATTTCCTTACTGTGCTTAGGATATATAATTTCAGGTTATGTTTAATGTTATGTCAAATAAGGAAACAAATCAGAGGAATGAATAGGTATGATACACACAGTACATTGTAGTATCCTTTAACTCTGAACATAGGTTAGAATGTCATCTTAAAATTTATTAATCTCTTCTTTTAGCCAGCTCTATGTTTACTAGGTGCATCTTTTCAAAGTGTACTTTTTCTATAGAATCCTGATTAGCAGTTGTTTCTCTGAATGAAAAACTCATGGAACATACTGTGTTTTCTTCTCTCTCTACTATAAATGCTTCAGTTCTCAGGTAGTGGTACATAGCATACAACCTATCTTCAATTTGTAACTGTCATTGCACATGGTATAAGTAGAAAATTAGAAGTATTGGCATATGCCATTTATTGGGAGAATAGGAATTTTTAAATAAGGTTTTACATTTCTCCCTCATGTTATAGTAGTATTCAAAAATACCTTATTCTGTAAATATATCACCATTTCCCTTCTATAATTTACAATATGTTTCCCTTTTTGAGAATGGACCTGGTTATACTTAGCAGTTGGGCTTCTGACTCCTGGCTTCAGGAACCATCGTACCTCAGCTGCCCTATTTGCACAGGACACAGGTGCACATCAGCAGGCCTGGATTTCATTAAATCCTGGAAGATTTTTCTTTGAACAGGAATATTTGGCAAAATCTTCAATGGACATTTTAGTGTTAAATCTTATGATTAAATTTTAAAATCATATTTATGTAGTGTCCCAGAAGTCAGCTTTTACATATATTAATAAAAGTTTATGCTCATTTCCTGAAAAAAAGTTAGTGTATATAATTGAAAAATGGCATCTCCTTGATTTCATTTGAGGAATTTCAGAACCATGGATAGCATAGTTAGCATTACTACCTCAGTTTGCTGCATTCTACAAATATTTCACCTTTTGAACTGATATGATTTCCTGAGTGAGGTCATCTTCTCCCCTCCTCCTACAATGTGTCTGCAGTCCCAGGCTTCCAGCTTGATGTCTTTCTGCAGGCCTTGACTGTGACCTTTCCGCGCTGATATTGGATGGCTCCAGACCTCTGAAGCTGAGAATTCCTGGCCCCAGCCACTCTTCTGATGACTATCGAGTCTTTCTTACTCTTTACATTCTGAGAACCGTTTTTCATTTCTAGACTCATTTTCTCACCCATCATGTAGACATTATATTCTTTTATGCTCTGCTGCCCATTAAACTCTGGCATTGATCTTACACTGCTGCCAAGAATCTGCAGATTCCCTTTTCACAAAGGGAAAGTTCCCATTCCAGCCTGAGATGAGTCTTGTGTGGTTCCCCTTGCTGCTCCTTTTTATCTGTTTGTGCCCTTCTGGAAACTATTCTAGTTGTATCATCTTCCTTGGGCAGCCCTCTTTTGCTGTATTGTTTCATGCCTCATCCTTTTGTTTCTGGTGTCCCTTTTTGAATTCTGAGGTATTTCATTTGTTCTTTAAATGAAATTGTATTCTTGAATTCTGAGGTGTTGCCTATCACTTGTAATTATTTTTGAAATAAGTATTGGTTGAGGTTTAAATGTAAATGTGATAATTTGACTTCCCTAAACAGCCTTCCTGTGTGCTTTCTCTCCCTTTCAAAAGAAATGGCCCTTCCTGAGCTTCCCAGATAGAACTGACTGTACTTGATTTGGATGTGTATCTTTGTACCTCATTTGTAGAATAAATGAAATACATTTCACTGTTTTCATTTGTGTTCATGTATCTGCATCTGCTTCCATGCAGAGCAGAATGTGCTTCCTGTTTTCAGCTTTTCCCAGAGTAATCACTGTGATTTGATAAATTTTTTCCCTGTGATTGTTTCCATTATGCTGAGTGGGTCACTGGGCAATTGCATGCTTTGTAATGCTATTTTTGTTTTTGTTCTGCCTTTTTTTTGTTGTTGTTGTTAGAAAGAAGCAGAAAGGCCAAAAATTATAAGGCTGGAAAATGGTAAGTTTGTTCTTGTAAAAACACAAGAAGAGCAAACAGCCAAAAATGTGACTAATGTGGATGAAGAGAAGAAAACTTCTCAAACTGGTAAGTTAGTGACTAGCTATGAAAATCGTTCTTGTTCATATGCTATTATTTTCAAATGTGTATAGATCCAAAACATAATATCCATTTCTTTTAAAATTTTCTTATTTTTCTTCCACCAACATATTTCTGAACCTGTTTCTGAAATTCTTTTCACATTGACTTGTATCTTAGTGAAATATTCATGAATGCAGATGGATTTGCATACATGAGTAAAATTTAATGTAGTAAATATAACTAATGTGTCTGTGACTACATTTTATAGATACTGTGTTGCCACTGGAAGCACAGACAGATGATGAATCTCCTTGGGATTCTGAGGTATTGCCTGTAATTATTTTTGAAATAAATATTGGTTGAGGTTGAAATATAATGGGAAAATTTGACTACACTTTCTCACCTCTTCATATACCTGTAAGAAATTTTTCCTTACAGTTTTTAACCACAGTTCCTAATTTCCTGTGTAGCTTAGCTGTTTAGTATGATTATGTCTCAAAGAGTTAATGCCACTGGGTTCATAGCTGAATGCAATTGTCCTGTGCTGAATCCTTTGTACTGCAGGTGAAGGAATAAATGAGTGGAGTCTGAGCACACCTTTGCTACCTGTGTAAGATTCATTTAAGGAAGCCAGTGCAGTTAAAAACTAGGAGCAACATGTCATAAGCAATCAGCTTGGATTCTGAAACTAAGCTGAGCAAAAACTGAGGAATTTTTCCCAGTCAGTCTATGGCCAATGGGTGAAAATTCTGCTGAGATTCAGACAAAATGTTTGGATCATAATTTTTACAGTTTTTTACTTGACAAAGTAATAAATGATAATTGCAATAGTTATTATGTTAGGGTTTCCTGGTATGGATCTGAACGTAGTAATTCAATAGAATCAAGGACTCAAGATGTAAATACATGGTGTTATACTCACAGTTTGGTGTTATATTATTTGAAAAAACAGAAACCAATTTTGAATGTGGAATGCACTGAGTCTCTTTATGGCAGCCATGCTTGTACTGATAAAAATGTAAATAATGACAAATTGTGTTAGAGTGAACATTTTGATTTTTTGTTTGTTCTGTTTTGTTTTTCGGTTACTGGGGTTCAAACTCACAACCTTGTGCTTGCCAGAGAGGCACTTCAGCCACTGAGTTAAATCCCTGGCCCTAGAGTGAGCATTTTGGGAAAGAGCTAATGTCTTTGTTCCAAGCAGCTCCTGCATTGTGGTACCAGGTGGTGGTTCAAGTCACAAGATGTGTTAGTATTCTGTCTGTTAGTAACTGCTAAATCTTGGAAACATAATCCAATGAATTTGGCTTTTGGTGACCTTATTATACCATGAAGATGGCACATGATCTACTACTTATGTGATACTTTCTATATGTCATAGGAAATTTGTGATAAGAAATTATAAAAATACTTTGAAAGTATAAAAGGTTTTACCTGAATAAATATTGAAGATTTTTTCCTAAACATGAGATCAGCAAAATAATAATGTGAAGAAAAGAGTAAGAAAGATGAGAGGGGCATGTAGATTGCTGGTTTGTAAATGGTAAAACTCTTAGTAAAACTGTTGATGGAAACAGCATATAGGAAGAGAGTGGCTTGGTGCTTGAGGCTTCCCTGATGAGATTTTAAATGTGAACTTGAATAAATCTCTGTTTTAGAGTACCACTGTGTACCAAGCAGTGAGATACTGAATATCTTAGGTGAAGACTTGTGTTATCATGATAGTCAAATGAACAAGAAGCACTTTTTATTTCATTAATTTGAATCCATCCTATGGCCTTCCCATGGCACTACACCACCAGCCATATTAGACTTGAGACAGGGTCTTTCTATGTAACCACATTCCCAAGACTGGGCTTGAACTGGTGCTTGTCATGCCTTACCCTTCCAGAAGTTTGGAATTACAGGTGTGCACCACTAGGCCTGCAAATGTTAAAGAATTTCGAGGGGGGTTTCAGTACAGATGGGAATGAGAGTGAACTCCTGCTAACATAAGAGTGAACAGGAGCCAGCACAGTAAAGTCCAGGAGGACACTGTGGGCAGGACCATGAGCCCTGTCTGTCCATCACTGCAGCACCCTACAGTGACCAGGAAGCAGGAAGTGCAGTTACTTCCTCACAGTTATTTACGGTTTTGCAACAGATAGAAAAGAAAATGTGTAAGTCAGTATGTTGTAAATTGGGGGCACTTTGTAAAAAAAGTTTTTATGTTGCTGTCTTTTTTCATACTTTTTCAAAGTTTTTCTTAATTGGGAAAGAGTTGTATATAACATCTCATATTCATGTGCTATTTCTTGAATATAACATGAAGTTATCAGTATATTTTTATTTTCGAACATTTTTCTATCAGTAAAAATATTATCTCAGAGTTGCTTTTCTTTCAAGTCCTTGTTTACACAAGTGAAGTAGTGCCTGCAATGATGTTTTTACTCAGCATGGCTCTCTGAAGTTTCTTACTGGCCAAGTATCTTAACAGTGACATGACTTCTGCGAACAGAATGCTTAATGCTGAATAATAACAAGTATATTTATAAGAATTTGTTTATTCAGGGAAGGGAAAGTGATATTAGGGTGTAAAGGGAACCAAGGTAATCAAGAAATGATAACTCATGTAGCAGTTCCCCAAAACAAGTGTAATTGTTATATATCACAAACATGCACTCATAAAAATGGCTTCATGTAAATCTGTATGTTTCAATGTTACATTCATTGGAGAGTGCAGAGTACTGTTGACTCTTGTGAAGCTAGGATGAAATAGGTTTGTCAGACAGAATTTTGTCTCTGAATCCTTCCTGTAGCATTCCATGCCTGCTTTACAAAGTCAGCACCCATATGGAGACAGCAGCTGGGCTTGTCATAAGGTTCACATGGGAGACATTTTGGTCCTCAGTATATGCTTCCCATTATTAAACCTGCTTGCCTTAAGATGGTAAAAATCAGATAGCTTCTTTGGAAATGAGTAAGAAATGCTTCTGTAACTCATTACTGCTATATGAATTTTCACAGAGTATCTCTGAGAATCTTCCACAGCAGCCTGTCGATCCTTTTTCTGGGGATGCAGATGATAGAGGAAAACATGCAAGAAATACACAAACAAAAGGTAGGAAATATGTGTAATTTATTTAGAGAAGTTATTTGATAGTTATTTAGCTAAAAGTAGAGCATTGTTGGATTATAATAGTCAAAAAACTACCCATGAATTGGATAGTAAGAAAAAAGAAGTAAATCAGTAGTAAGTTTTATACACTTTGAAGTTTAAGTAATAGGTTAATTTGAGGGTCACTGAGGGAGCTACCTTGTTAGCACCATTCCAAGGCATTCTAATGTCTGAGGGAAGTTAGAAAATTAATAGGAAAGAAAAGAGTGAAGAATGCGAAAGCAATAATACAGGGAGTAAACAAAGAAAACAAAGTATGGAGTGTGGAAAAATGAAGTAATTCTTAAGAGAAGGAAGAGCAAGGTAGCAGAAGTGTAGGAATTGTATCAATTGAGCATTGAGTAGCAAAACTTGATAGAGAAGTAGAGCAGAAGTTTTTCACTTTCCCTGTCTTCTTACCACTCGAAAGGCATCAAGGACTGAAGTACTAGATTATGCAGAGCTCTTCTTTATTCACTACAGATCAGAATAAACAAGCAAGGTCAGCTATATGTGTAGTTTCACTGGTACCTTGGTTCATGCACTTCTCCCACAATGCTGGTTGCAGAATTCCATTTACAGTTTTACCACTTAAAAAGAGTTGCTGTTTCACCATGTAGTGTATCCAGAATGATACAGTAAAAAAATAGAAAGAAAGGAATGCTTAGGTTTTTTTAAAATTTTATTTAAGAGGAAAAAGAGAAAAACACAAATCAAAACAAAGCAGTGTACGGGTACACGTAATACAGAACTACAAAAAAAAACATAGCAGTAAGAAATCACCTGTTAATAGATTATATGTTATCATCTTGGAAATAGTTGCTCAAATCACAGTATCAAAGAATACAAAGTGGACATTCAAACAGAGAGACTGCAAACAGCTGTGTTCAATGATCCAAAAACATTAATATAGTCAGCTATTTAACACCCCTAAACACACTTGCTGTTATATCCATTAGAGCTCTTTTTTTTCCCCTCTCTTTTTTACAACAAAATTTACACATTTTGGATTTTATTTCTCCTTAGTTCTTATTACTTTTTTTGGGGGGGAGAGAATAAAGTCAAATATGGCAAAACAAAGCTGTCAGTCAAAAGCAAGGATAGACATAGCACATGATGTAGAACAGAGTACAAGGTTATCAACAATGGTTATCAACGTTGTCTCTTGTTTCCTTAAAAGAATTGTCTATCTCATTAGATATTATAAAGTTGGACAAAACAGTAGAGAACAAGACCAATAAAACTTAGGCATTGTAAACATTACAGGACTTCCAAAGGAGACAATAGTCAAACCAGAATGGGCATCTTAGTGAATCTTACTGCCTTCAAAGTAGTTGCCTTTACCCTCAAACTTGATACTATCATACAGAATGGAACAGAGTCTAATCAGTCAAAACAAGATCATGGGAGTATTACAGGACTTCAAAACAAGTTAATAGGAAATCAAAAAGAGTTACTATTATATATCCTAATTTTTAAAGTTTTTCCCCTTAATTAAAACAAACATAAGAAATAACTAAATAATTTTTTTAAAGAATAAGGGAGAGATTGAGATAAAACAGGACATAACAATATAACAATAGAGGTCAAAGCATGACAGTTTCAGCACCCTAGTGCTTCACCACCAAATAACCCGACTTAATAGTAGGTACCATAGTGTCTGTCTTTTTCCTTGAAATATTTGGATGAAACTTCATATACTATAGCTTCAAATATTTCCATATCAAGAAGCCCAGAATGAAGCCTTTCTAATTAATAAGTGAAAACTTTATAAGGCTTCAAGGCCACAGAATGGGGAATCATGATTACCACATATTTTTATATATTTGAATCATTACTTACATTAGGGAAACTATTTGGTATTCACACATGCGAGATTGATTTATTTCACTTATGAGTATGGTCTCAAGCTGTGCCCGTTTATTGATAAATATCTCAATGTGATCCTTCTTTATAGCTGAATAATACTCCATTGTATAGAAATACCACAACTTTTTTATCCATTCCTCAGTTGATGGACACTTGGGTTGTTGGGTTGTTTCCAAGATCTGGCAATTACAAATTGTGCTGCTATAAACATAGGTGCACATATATCACTGTGGTATGTTGCTTTCAGTTCTTCTGGGAATATGCCTAGAAGTGGAATAGCTGGAACAAATGGGACTTCCAATCCCAACTTTTTGAGAAATCTCCAGACAGACCTCCACAAAGGCTGTACCAGTCTACACTCCCACCAACAGTGCAGGAGAGTTCCTTTTTCCCCACAGCCTCTCCAGCATTTGTTGTTGTTGGTTTTCTTGATCCTGGCCATTCTTTCAGGAGTGAGATGGTATCTCAGTGTGGTTTTAATTTGCATTTCTCTAATGACCAATGATGATGAGCATTTTTTCATGTATTTATTTGCCATTTGCATTTCTTCATCTGAGAATTGCGTATTCATCTCAGATGCCCATTTTTGGATTGGATCTTTGAATTTTGGAGGCCTGAGTTTTTTTTAATTCTTTATATGTTTTAGACAAGAGTCCCTTGTCTGAGAGAGAGTTCGCTAAAATCTTTTCCCAGTTTGTGGGTTTTCTTTTCACTATGCTGGAGATTTCTTTTGACATGCAGAAACTTTTTAATAAGATGTGGTCCCAGATTCTGGGAAGTATTTCCTGTGCGGTTTGAGTCCTGTTCATGAATTCTCTACCTACTCCTATGTCTCCAAGGTTTCTACCCAATTTTTCTTCCAATAGATTTAGTGTTTCTGTTTTAATATTCAGATCTTTGACCCATTTAGATTTTAATTTAGTACATGGTGATAGACATGGGTCTAGCTTTCGTTTTCAGCAAATGGAGAGCCAGTTTTTCCAGCACCATTTATTAAAGAGATTGTCGTTCTTCCAGTGAACCTGCTTGGCTCCTTTATCAAAGATAAGGTGGTTGAGTGTCTTTGTAGTTGTGGTTATATCTTCTAATCTATTCCATTGATCTTTGGCTCTGTTTTGATTCCAATACCATGTTGATTTTACTACTGTTGCTTTGTAGTATAACTTCAAGTCAGGGATTGTGATGCCTCCTGCTTTGTCTTTGCTGCTTAGAATTGCCTTTGCGATTCTAGGTCTCCTCTGGTTCCAGATGAAATTTAGGAGTGATTTCGCTAGATCTATAAGATATGTTGATGGTATTTCTATTGGGATTGCATTGAATCTGTATAAGAGTTTTGGGAGAATGGCCATCTTCACAATGTTTGTTCTTCCTATCCATGAGCAAGGGATGTCTTTCCATTTTCTGAGATCATCCTCAATTTCCTTTTTCAGTGTATTATAATTTTTACTGTATAAGTCTTTCACTTCTTTCGTAAGAGTAATTCCTAAATATTTCATTTTTTTGCTTGCTAATGTGAATAGTCCAGTTTCTCTTATTTCCCTCTCTGTGATTTTGTTGTTCGTGTATAGGAATGCTATTGATTTCTGAGTATTGATTTTGTATCCAGCCACCTTACTGAATTTATTTATTGTATCTAAGAGTCTTTCAATGCGGTTTAGGGGGTCTTCTATGTAGAGTATCATGTCATCTGCAAACAATGATAATTTAACTTCTTCTTTTCCTATCTTTACCCCTTTTATTCCTCTTTCTTGCCTAATTGCTCTGGCTAGTACTTCCAGTACTATATTAAATAGGAGTGGTGATAAAGGACATCCTTGTCTTGTGCCCAATTTTAAAGTAAAGGCTTTCAATTTTTGGCCATTTAGTATGATGCTGGCTGTTGGTTTGTCATAAATGGCCTTTATTATATTGAGGTAAAGACCATCTATTCCAATTTTCTGTAAAGTTCTTATCATGAATAAATGTTGGACCTTATCGAAGGCTTTTTCTGCATCTATAGAAATGATCATGTGATTCTTACTTTTGGCTTTATTGATATGGTGGATTACATTTATTGATTTGCATATGTTGAACCATCCTTGCATTCCTGGGATGAATCCCACTTGGTCATGGTGTATAATCTTCTTGATGATTTGCTGGATCCTATTTGCCAATATTTTATTGAGGATTTTTGCATCTGTGTTCATTAGGGAGATCGGTCTATAGTTCTCTTTTTTAGTTGGGTCTTTCTCAGGTTTTGGTACTAGAGTAATATTTGCTTCCAGGAACGACTTAGGAAGGATTGCTTCCCTTTCAATTTCATTGAACAGTTTGAGGAGTGTCGGCATTAGGTCTTCTTTGTATTTCTTGTAGAATTCTGCAGTGAATCCATCTGGGCCTGGGCTCTTCTTGGTGGGTAAGGACTTAATTACATTTTCAATTTCAGTAACAGAGATTGGGTTATTCAACAGTTTTACATCCTCTTGATCTAGCTTTGGCACTTCATATGCTTCTAAGAATCTGTCTATTTGTTGTGAGTTATCAAACTTTTGAGAGTAGAGGTTTTCGAAGTAGGTGTTGATGATCTTCTGTATTTCTATTGGGTCTGTAGTGATTTCTCCTTTTTCATTTCTTATTGCATGAATTTGAGCTTTTTCTTCCCTTTTTTTAATAAGGTTGGCTAGGGGCTTATCGATTTTATTTATTCTTTCAAAGAACCAACTCTTTGATTTGTTGATTCTTTTGATTGTTTTCTTAGTCTCTATTGCATTGATTTCTGCTCTGATTTTTATAATTTCCTCTCTTCTTTTGGCTTTGGGCTTGACTTGCTCTTCTTTTTCTAGCTGTATGAGGTGTAGCATCAAGTTATTTATTTGTATTCGTTCTGTTTTCCTGATGTGGGAACTCAGTGCAATAAATTTTCCTCTCAGGACGGCTTTCATTGCATCCCACAGGTTCCGGTAAGTTGTATCTGTATTTTCATTTTCTTTTAGGTATTGTTTGATTTCTTCTTTAATTTCCTCTGTGACCCACTGATTACTCAAGAGTGTGTTATTCAGTTTCCATGTGTTTGTGGGATTTTTGCAGTATCTTTTATAATTAATTTCTAATTTCAG